CCACTTCCCATCTTTGGAGACTTGAAGTATGTTCCACTTCGTCATCCCGAAGGTCTTTAAACGCTTATAAAAACAGAGTTTATTTATCCACAGTCAGAACAGCCTATCTATTATCTTGAAGGCTGAATTCAGAAAGTTTCTTCAGAAATTTATTGGTTTCATTCCTACCAGTCTGAACAGAAGTTTTCCACAGAGTCTGTCAAAATACAAATGTCTCAATTCCAATTTCCTTCAGTCTTTAGCAAGACATCACATTAATTGTGTTAAAAAGCACTTTTATTAGTTACTGAGAAAGCAGGAGTCTGGCAGCTCTTCTTGACCACTAGCCATTCACTTTTGTGAAGTCTCCTTTAACAGTGCTTTGATCCAAGGCAGTGGTTTTCTCCACCAGCAAATTCAGCAATGCCTGGAGCCAAAGGGACCAGTTCCAGGCAACGATTATTTGCTTCAGGTCTGGAGGGCTCCTACTGTTCCCTGGGCAAAGCCTTTCTGTCCCTCTCAAGGCTTCTCACATTCCCATTGTCAGAAAAAATGGAGTGGTGGAGGCACATGGTCAGCCTGAGGCCAGGCAGATCCATGAGCACAGGCAAAAATGCACACAGAATGGAGAATTTCATCCACACTTGTGATGTTTTCAAGAGGACTCAGGGAACCATCAAACAGCTTGTAGGAGTTTTGCCTTAGTCTAATTCTGCATTAGCCAAAACTGCTCAGCCTGGTGATAATGTGGCTTCTACTTCACAAGGGAAAGGTGGCAATGAAAAAAGCCAGCAATTCCCAGTCCTCCAAGGGGTGAGGAGATTATCTTCCCCATCTGATCTCCATGAGGTGCTCTGGAGTTTCTCCTGCCAGCATTCAGTCATTCTGGAGCTGTGTGAACAGCCAGAAACCCAAACTTCCCACCTGCTTCCTTGCATCAGCCCTCCTGAGTTTCTTGAGCCAACACCAGAGCACACAGAACAGGATGGGCACTGGTCATGTCTTATCACTCCAGCCAGCTGCAGGATACATGGAATTCCCTAGGATACAAGCACCTGGGTCGTTAGCATTGATGGAAAACCTCAGCTCTACAATATATTTGCTGTTGACAGCCCCACTTTAAACAAGGTGTCACATGTTAAGTGGCATCAAATGAGACAAACTGAGGCTCTCATTTCCCTCATGGCATTTTTTTGAGCACTTCCCATGCCACTCCAAACTGATTCCCTGCTTACACTTCAGCTCTGAAAATACTTCCAGGAGTTCCAGCACACACACACTTGTGGAAGAAGCTCTGATAACTGGGATGTTAATGCTGGAAGACTGAGCAGGATTCCTTTAGCTGTCTCTGCTTGGCTGTGGGGAGCTTATGAAATGAAAATAAATAAATTGGGACTTACATGAAATGGCCAAAGGATCAAAACCTGGAGATTTCTGGAAGCAGCTATTCTGGAAAAGAGCATGTGTGAAGGGTCTGGTTATAGGACCCCTCCCTTGGCCCTGTAAATACCTAAATGTTAATGTTTCAAGCTGCAAATATTGGCAGGGCTGGCAGGATTACATGCACCAGAGTCCACAACCACCCCCACAAGCAAACTCACACTGTCACCTTCAGCCAGGCATGCACAGACACCCCATACACAAGGATGGCCAGGACAAGCACAGGTGAGAGTCTGAGGTACATTGGGAGCAAAGATATTCCTACAAAAATGGTTTGTTGTTTGCTCAGGTATCTGTGGAGGGATCCACCAGTAAACAGAAACCCAGAGAGAAAAGATTTCAGACAGGAGGAAAAGCTGTGCCACCCAAAAAGTGCAGCCCAGCTCGTCACAACCCTCCGTGATCCACCATTGGTTCAACACAGACTCACCTGGGGAAAATAAATGCTCTTAGGCTTGAAGGTGGGTATCTCATACACAAGTCTTGCAGTTCCTGCCACCATAAAACAGCTGAAGATATTTTGATCAGAAAAACACCTTCCAAACCACCCTTGGAGGCCTCTCACCAACAAGAGTGCAAAAGATCAAGCCTGTGGGGCAGCCCAAATGAAGAAGGGCCTTCATTCAGCACAGGCCATTCATAGTTTTCTTTTATTTTAGAACTCCACTCAGAATTTTAGACGAGAGATGTGGCAATGAAGGGCTGAGCAAGGTCTGTCACAGCTTCTGCACAGGACATGGCTCCTGCCCCAAACACCAAGCACCATTGCACACGTGCTGGAGGGACCTCATTGCCTCTAATTCAGCCCAGTTTTGCTTTTGAGCACTGGTCTAATCATGATTGCTGGAGGCCAGAAGGTGCAATTCCTTGGGTGCCGGCACGTGATGCTCTCGCATGTGCTGGTTTTACACCTGTATTAATCCAATGGCCTCGTCAGGGCCAGCCCTGACTTCTCCAGGCTCAATGGAAAGGACAATCTGGCATTTCCATTATTTAGCCACACACAGCCACATCCAGCCTGACAAACAGCCCTGTCACATGCCCTTTGCACAGCAGGGGAGAGCCTCAATTACACGGCAGTGGCCGAGCAAGGGCCACCAGCTCTGCTGTTTACAGGAAGCACCGGCACAGAGCATGGAATTAGAAAGACCACAAGGAAGTGAGGGATTATTTACTGGAGATTAAAGGACACGGAAAAACCACAGGACAAATCAGTGGAGCCTAAGCAATGGTAGCTGCTATTTCAGTCTTCCAGCTGCTGGCATTCATACTGGTCATGCCGTGATGGGAGAGTTTGGGAGGAATTCAGCAGGACAGAAGGCTGCTCTGCTTTTGGACCAGTAAAACACACCAAAGAATAGGCCATAAACCTGCTGGAAGGATGGGAGGGATGTCTGTTCCACTCCTTTCCCTCCTCAACTAGTCCTGTGAGTCTTCCTCCTCCCTCCCTAGGTGGGATTCCTGCTTTTGAACTGTCCCCCCAGGCCAAACAACTCTGACCAGACCTGCCTGTTGGCAAAGCAGCTGGGATGTGCCCATGGCTTGAACCCAGATGAGTCAAGATAAAGCATCTCCTCGAACTTGGAAAGAAGTGGGTGGGGTTGAGGTCTGGCATCTCAAGACCTTCAAGACAGCTGCAGTGCCAATAGGAGCCGGAGTTTCTTGGAATATCCATGGAAAGAGGAGAAACTACCAAGTGAGGATTAATACTGATCCTCCAACCCAATCCCTCTCAGGACTACTTCTCCAGGCTTTTAGCTTTATTTTAAGCACCCACAACCTCCCTTCCCCCTTTAAAGTTCAAACCCATCAGCACGGTCTGTGGTGGGAAGTGACACAGGCAGAGCTTGTGGCCAAGCAGAGACATCCTACAAGTGACAAGACACCCTTGTTTTAACACCTCAGTCCAACTACCCAGGAGTTCACCCAGTTTTCAGTGAGATCTGCTTTTCAGCTATGACTGGCCACCAGTATTTCAGTGATTGCTAATGAGCTCTGACATTTGGACTGTAACTGGATTTGGTCTCGTGTCAGTGCGTGCCCACCTCTCCCTGCAGCTGTAAACACACAACTGCTGTTCCTGCAGCTCTCCAGGATGGCTGCACACTCAGCCACACTTTTCCTAGAAAATACTGCAAGATTTTTCCAAACACTTGGCTATACTTTCTCTAGTATTTTGCTCCTGGCAGGTAAAGCTGTTTGCAGTGCTGCTGTCCTTGTGCCACAGCCATGCTGGAGATTTTGCCACCTCTAGTCTCCTGTCACCAGCAGGAAGTTTTGGGATAGCATCCAAACTCCTGCACCAAGCCCCTTCTCAGGGAGCCAGGTAGCCCTTTTACTGCTTCTCTTTCCAAAGACACAGATGTCACTTTGTCATCTCTCCTGCTGCGTCTCAATGCCACACAACAGCAGGCCACCATTATGTGCCAAGTGACAGCATCCCCTGTCCATCCCCACGCTGATGCAGGTTGAGCTTCCACCACCACCACCAAAACAGCATCTCCAGCAGCACCAGGGCCCTTTGTGCTCAGCAAGAGGCACTAATTCAGCCCTGACTCGAGAACGTGGCCATGGACTGAAACCCGAGCCTTGTTCCCTGCAAGGCCCATGGTGAACATGATCCTGCTGGAAATTACAGAGCTCCAGCAAAGGCAGCTGGAGGGAGGCTCCCCGTGGTGAGGAGGAGCCCACAAGAGGCTGCCACTGACAATTCCTGCCTTCTCCCTCAGTCTGCATCCATGTGGCTGAGGGAACACAAACAGCACGTTGCCTTCGTGTTTGACCCAGAGCAGTGCTTGGCTGCTGGTGCCACACCACAGGCTCCATTCGGAAAGCAAACAGGAGCTCACTGGATTTCTTTTTTTTTGTTTGCCCTTCAACAGATAGAGAGAAAGGATGAATGAGCTTATTTTACAGCCTCAGAGGAATACCCGGCCATTGTTGGCTTGACACAGGCTGCAGAAAGTGATGGCTAAGAAAATAAAAGCTTATTCTTTCCTTTATGGGTTGGCTGAAAAGTAAAACCCACCCCAAAAGCCCTTCCATGGGCCAGCAGCAGCACTTCCATCAGCTACGTGGCTGATCCACAACTCAGTGACTTCCAGAGCAGGACTTGACCTGCTGCATATAACAAGAGGAGAGGGAATATCTGGGTTTGCATAATTTTTGAGGAGTCTTGAAGCACACCATGCACCCAGCCTGCCCTCCCCATGCAGATGCCACCCAGCACCATGTCCCATGCTGGGCTCGCAGCAGCTGGAGGGAAGGCAATGCCATCCCTCTGTGAGCATCAGCATAGAAACTCTCCAGAATATTTCCTCCTCCCAGTTCTCTGCATCTAGAAAACGTTGTCACAAGGTCTAACAGTGCTCAGTCCCAGCTGAGGCTCAGGTACCTACAGTGGGTATCTCAGAGACAATGGGACACCAAGGGTGACCACCTCTGCTTTGGAGAACCAGCACTGCCAATAAATTGGTTCAATGACACTTTCTCCCCTCAGAGATGAGGACTTAAGAGCCAGGGCATGCAGAGAAAATAGCCATGCCACAGATGCTCATTTAATTAACTCAAGTAATTTTTACCAGAGCCTCTTGGGTTATTCATTGTAGCCGTCTCTGCCGGGAGAGCCGGGCGCCGTCGCCTGCTGCAGCCTTGTCTGAAGCAGAAACCTGGCTCTGGAGATGTACTCCTCTCCACTCGTCATATAACTTGCTTCTGCCACCAATCCACATAATTTTCACTTATACTGAAGTGGTAAAATCAACCTCAGGAGCTCAGAGTCCGGGAATAGGGATTCACAGTTTGGAGTCTGTGGCCATCTTGTGCAGTTCGGTGACACATGAAGGGAAAGAAAAAAAAATCCCATTAATGATTTCAATTCCCTCCTCAGTAATTTTACCCAAACAAACTTCCCACCCAAACCAGTGCTTTTTAAAAGACTGATTTAAAAAGCAGGAAATGCTAGTGAGTACACTCCTTCCCTATCACAGCTGCAATTCCACTTTTAAACACATCTGACTTCAGAGGCTGGCTTGGATTTATATGGTTCATGCTATTTTTCCTGCTTTATTCAGTGCTCAAAATGGCTGCAAAAAGGAGGTAAATCAGAACCCAGTGATGCAGTTCTGGATGCCAAGGCACCATTTCCCTCCATCGTCCTGCCCTGTGTACACAGGGGTCCAGGGAGCAGTGATGGGCAGGACAGAGGCAACGGGGATTGTGTCTGAGACCATTTCCTCCATATTGCTCCTGTGTGCATAGTGGGTGCATTAGTTTAAGGAATAAACAGTGACTTTCTTTTTAAGGCTATAAATCAGGAGACCAGCTCCCTCACTAACATCAGCAGAGAGCAGAACAGGACCCAGGCAATTTTATCAGCTGTGGCTCCAACCCATGGTCTGTTGGACAAGCAATGCCCCATGGAGAGGATGGGATCTCATCTTTTGTTAACAACAGCCACATACCTGATCATGGCCGTGTAGTGCCCTTAGCAGCAAAACCACCAGCCAGCACCTTCAAGGGGTTAACGATCAAGCAAATTACAGTGAGGAACAAAAAGGGGAATTCACTTTACTTGGAAATACATATATATTTTTTTTTTCTTCTGGACTTCTTAAATGACCAAAGCTTTTCAGGTGTGCTCCACAGCCTGGCATGAGCCACCTCCTGTGCTGTTGCAGCCACTGGCCATGCTTTGCCATCCGGCTGCTTGGGGAGAGGGTGAGAAGAGGGCCCAGTGTGGGGGGGACATATCCCGATCCAGTATTTCATGGATGCCCCTGCGCTGAGCGGGGAGCAGCGGCTGCCACGGGAGCCTCCTTACGTGGAGGCACAGGCAGGGGACTGGCTTGGTGATAGCAAGTCTGCTCAGTCACAGCTCAAATGGCTTAATAGGGACTGGATCCAACTGGTCCAGCCTTGTGGGTTTTGATTTAAACTGCAGTTAAAAGGTGTGATTAGAGGCAGGGGATGCGGTGCCAAGAGCTAAGATGTGAAGCAAAAAACATATATTTAAAAAAAAACATTCCCCTAAACCTATACATATTTTTCTATCATTAACCCTTTGCCTGCCACTGCCAGATATCTGAGGGGCCGTCCGAGGAAACGTTTGACTCTGCTGCTTAAATCCATGGACTGTAAGAGGTCTGTCAACACCACAGAGGAATTTGACCACTGAATTACTGACATTTATGGGTTTGGTATTAATGACAACCACAGCAGAGCTTCGTGGGGACCGACTGAGTCTTTCCTGCCACCGCCTGAGAGCCCCAGTGAGGGCTGCAGCGAGGGCTGTGTTTGGCTGCCTTCTGTTTGGGTTATTCCTATACAGAGTAGAAGGAGGCAGTGCTTTTCTGTCTGGAAACAGTTAAATTAGATCTCTTTTTCCTATCTCAAACTAGTTGCCCAAAAACTCAATAGTTAATCTGGCAAATGGGGACCTTTGGAGATGTTAACACAGCTCAAACCTTCAGACCATATGGATAAAATCGTAACTCAATAAAATTGCTAGTTCTTTATCTTCATGTGGCATCATCACACAGTTAATTTCAAGCTTTCCAGTAAGCTGTAATATATCTCCTAACCTAAGAGCTCTTTTGCATGACACTGAAATAGGTCCCAGCCTATATACATCTGTTGCCAATACAAATGTATGGTTCAGCAGCAGTAAAAGAGGATATAAAAGACTCCCACGTTACAAATGTAGGAGGCAGAGGATATTTTAGCATGGCAGTGGTTACACTTTTGGCAGCTTTGCTATAATAAACTTTGTTTTCAGAGCCTTAAAATATTCCCTGTGTAGCACAGACTGACATATTTGCTTTCAGCAGAGCCGTCTCAGGGGCCAGGGCTGGTGAACGGAGCTCAAGGACGTGGAGGAACTCAAGGAAGATGGAATTAATATCAGCCTATGTTTAAACAGGGTATTTCCTCACAAAATGCAAATATTTACAGATGCCATCAGATCCTGGTAGGACTATTTCCATGCATGCAGATGGGCACTCAGGGGGTACCTGCAGGCAGTGTGCCGAAGCCTGGGGCTGCTTCAGGACCTGGAAGCAAGGGAAAGAAGCTGAGCAGGCAGGCCAGGGGCCAAAAATATGAGGGCAAAGAGATGTAAGACATCAACCTCATGTAAGAAAAGTCTCTGGAGACTTCCACTATCTTACCATTTGATGGACATCTCCAGTCCCTTAACAAGATGCCACTGCTGGGTGCCTGTCTGGATGCTGCCTCGAAGTGGATGGAGCCCATCTACAGCTGGCAGGTGGATGTTGGCTTCCATGTGTCTGCCAAGTGATCCTGGAACCTAATGATCCACTCAGGCATTGAGTTACCTTTGGAGAAAACCAGTCACACCTTAGTGCACCCTGGAAAGGTAAGAGTAGCTGCGAAACCTTGATCCAGGCACTTTTTTGAGCAGAAAAGGGGAGCTCGTCCCACGTGGCTGATGGAAAAAGGAGGCAGCAGGAATGGCATCAGAGCTGTTGCCTGGTCCTGCCTGCTCTCTGCCTTCCCACAGGAAGGCAGGGCTATCCTCCAGGGCTCCAGATACTGTCACTGTGATGCTGAAGGCCGATCACTCTACAAATGATCACTGTTCACCCTTTGCTCTGGGAACTCAGACCGACAAGGGAGAACACAAGGAAGACTGTTTTGAAACTTCAGGATAGATTTCCAGACCCTTAGAGCCTTGGCTGAACCAGAGACAGAACAAAGAGGAGCAGGGGAGAGGTGGCTTCCTACTGTCTCCTGGCACCTGCATCACCAAAGGATATTTCCAGGGGTCCAACCTGTGGTAGGAAAGGGGTGAAGTCTTTGTGTACATTCAGTTCAGTTTGAAGCATCAATTTCTTGCAGAAGGGATATCTGAGAGTCCAGATGGGCCAGGACTGAATAGCAAAGCAAGCATGAGGCCATACTTTGCTCAAGAAAATATTAGGAAATGGACAAAATGTTGACCTGGCCTGGGGTATGAGCTGAGTATCAAACCCAAGAGGAGCCCTGGTAAGTGGGTCCAGCAGGACTTCTCTGTGCCAGGTGGATATGGAGGGCCAAGCTTAAAAATGGGGTGAATAACTGAACAATACCATTTTTGATGTTCTATGCACACATACAACTCCAGAAATTCAACTCTGCTACTTACAGTCTCTAAGACAGCAAAAGAAAACACTTCTTACCATCAAGCCTCCTTAGAAAGGCTCACTGCTGCTTGTGCTGAATTTGGATGTGGTTTTGGCACAGAGGGTTTTGAGACCATGTGATGGCATTATAGTCTCATGCTAATCTGTCCTCATGGTGTGCTATTAAAAATAAATAAAAGTCATGGCTTCCTAATCCACAGGTTACTAACTGTGGGAAAAAAACGTGTTTGTTACAGCCTTAGCAAGTGCTTAAAAGTGTCACACTTTTGTATTTATTTATTAGCAAGTGAATGTATAAACACATTGTTACTGCCCTGAGTATCTGGTGTGCAATACCCACGCAGCTGCTCTTGAAGGACAAAACCCTCACATCTTCAGGAGAAACCCTATGCCAAGGCTGGGGGGCTGTGCAGGGGGTGACCCCAACCCCTTTTGTGCATGGACAGCACGGGGGGTTTGGCGGTGCCTCACCAATAAATGTTATTGCCCCTGGCAAGTTTTTTCGGATTCCTAGGAAGTAAAAGAGAAAGAAATAAGTTATTTTTGATAGTGGATCAGGTATCAAAGGAGTAAAAATAACCAGGTACTTTTTCAACCTGCAGGCTGAGCCCTCTGCCATGAAGCCAGGTGTATGTTCCTGCCTGGGGTGAAACTCCCCCTGGTTCAAAGAGGCAGCACGGCAGCACTGGGGCTCTGATCTCCACAGATGCACGAGGCCCAGCAGGTCTGGATTTCATACTTCAGAGAAGCATTTTCATTTTATTTCTCCTCTCCAACCAGGCAGGTGAGGCAGTTCCTAAGGGGAAATCCCGTGCAGCCCAAGGAACACTTTTCTCATCTTGTCTTTGCAGCACAGGATGAAGAACAAAATGACCTCCCAGATAAGCAATGAACAAGACAGCAAGTGTCTTCCACCAGGACTGCAAGTCCTGCAGGGACACTCCTGTCCTCTGCACACACAGAGCAATGGGGTTCTGCACCCTCAGAGGGAGGATGTGCTGGCCAACATTCTGTTGACCAGTGAATAAAGATGAACTAGGCCTAGAAAAATACCCAACCTGGTCTCTGCTCCAGTGAATAAACTTGCCTTTGAATACCTCTCACACTGAGAATATGCCTGGGTTCAGCCTCTGCTGCTCCTTCTGTCCCAGCATACAGTGGGGCACCAGCCACCCACTCCTAATTAACTTGATGGGTAACTCAGCAGCACAAATCACCTCAAGTTACCTTGGCCACAGAACACAGCGGATCCTTCCACAATGAAACAGCATGGCAGGAATTATCCCAATCCATAATTGCTCTGAGCAGACAATAAACCAGCTTGTGCTGGTGGAAGTAGCCACTCGGAGGTAATAACCCAGTGAGTAACAATAATGGCAGCAGATACTTGATAAAAAGCAGGGAACAAAAGAGAAAGCTTTCTCCATTATACAAACAACGGATGTT